TGATATCCTAAAAGATAAAGCTGATTCATTTGAGTTTTTCTTTTTAGTTCATAATGCTCCTCCTTTTTGTAACACAAATTCTGCCATGTTTCTTGCTATTTACTTATCCGTTATTTCCCTTGTATTTCCTGACTTGCTCATGTCCATTGACCAGCCCCTGACCCAACTGACAAATTGGTATTCATTTTAAGGAAAAGCCTGTAATGCTATGTATTGTCAAAATATTAATATTTGTCTGTACAGTAACATTGATTGAACCCATACATGTGTGCAGATATTCAGGGACAGTGATATGTGTTTGTCAATACATGTGAGCGTGTATATACATATATCAATATCTAATACTATATATACACTCACAAATACTTATCTATTGATACATTAAGATAATACAGGTATATGCAAACTATATTTCAGCAAGCTTCACTTTGATTGCCTTTAATTTCTACAATCTATTCAATTTTGAAGCAGTCATATTTTCATATTCATTTTCAATTGTTTTTAATCGACACCCTTCTGAATTTAATCAATATAAATTCACTTGTGAAATTTTCTACCCATTTTTGGACAAGTATCTTCATCTGTGTTGTTTCAAGACACCATTTCATTTCCTACATTTTTCCGTCTTTCTTAAGGATATGTTGCATTTGGTGGTCTTAAAAGTGGCTTAGTACTTTTTTGTTTTTTTCCATTTGTTTTCATACTGGATCAAAACACAGAGTCTTGTGTAAGAACACTTTCAAATATGATTACAAAATATAATTTTATTACAGAATTGACCTTACATTATCCTGTGTTATGGGAGATCTTAATGACCAAAAGATTTCCTGATTGGTACCAATCTCATCTGAAAGCTTTTCCACATGAGACTTGAGGCCCTTTTTAAACCTTGGTGTTCCTGTTGATGAGAAAGAAAAGGAAAAAGAAAGTACTAAATGACTTCTGCTCAGACAAATTGTAAATGTTAAAAACATCACAGATAAAGGTATCTTGAGTGAAAAATATATTGAACATTGAAAATAATTAATTTCAGAGCTTTGGAAAACACTTATCAAATGTTCTCTAACATCATCTGCCAAAAACATGCTTAAGTGTGATAGACACGATTGCTATTGTTTTGGATGCTGTTGTTACTTCTGCTTTTTTTATAATAAATATTTTGCTCATTGATGTGAAATAATTTACTTCTATCTCTGTTTATTAAATTTGGTTCATTTATGTAAAAATTTATTGCTTTTTACTCCCTTACTCCTTTTATATTCTACCTCATGCAAATAATCACACACTGCTTTTCTGCATTTTTATAATTTCATTTTTCATTTCATATATACATATGCATTTATAAGAATTGAAATGAACTCCAATAAACATGCTTGTATGGAATTACTTCTTCCATCTCTCTTCAAACAAGAGCTGTTGATGGGTTTGTTAATATTTCAATGTTTATTCGCATCATATGAGAACAAGTCAAATGGAAGTAACACTTCCTGTCTATTTCTTTTACATAAAAGTAAGAAAATAATCACACAGAATCAAATGAAAGAAGTCGAGAACCATGGAATAAAAAGCTAAAATAAATGCTATTTTCATTCATAATATGCAAATGACAAGATGATTAAAAATAATAAGAAAGCAATTCATATCACGTACTTACAAGCATGTTTTTTAATCTTTCCTTTTATGTTTTATGTCTTTAAATTATCTGATAGATGAGGTTTATATGTATTTATGTATATATAGTTTCTGTGTATGTGTGTATAGTTAGGAAGAAATGTGAGATGTATGAAAAAGTACATATGTACTAAAATAAAATACAGTGTGTGTGTTTCTATATGCATACACATATACATACATACTGATTTTCTTAATTTTATATATATATATATATATATATATATATATATATTTGAATTGTTAGCTTGTGTTTTTGTTATTTTTATGATGGCCTCACCTTTTTTAATAAATATATGCCTATGAGTTACATTTTTATGTTGTTTGAATCCACTACTAGTAGTTGACAAACTAGAATAAGACATTTATTGAGCCTACAATTTTAGATCTTATAAAATTCATAAGTAGAGTTTTGGGTATCAACTGAAAATTGTATTAAAAATTTTCCTGCAGCAAAATTCAACACATGATTAATCTGATTATCTGAACCTCATTCAGCAGAGTCAAGTGCAAAAGAAAAACTAGTTTAGATTTAATCAAACAACTTAATGGGACACCAGTTTAAATGACACATTGTCATTTTAGATCTTGCATTAAGCCAACAAATTATCTCACTATTTGTAATAGGATATATTTGAAAAATTGAGAAAAACCTAAAAAAACACTTTGCAGTCAGGAACCAAGAAATGTTAGGGGTTAAGAAATGTTAAGCATGACTGAAAATGAATAAATAAACTTATAATAATTCAAGAATGAATTTAAAAATTTGATTAAAAAAATCAAAGAAACAAAAATGGAAATACATTTCAGTAAAAAAAAACTAAAAAAAAATCAATATCAATATGTTAGCAATATGATGTGTGACATTTGGCATAGGTTTGTCATTTCATAAATCATGTATAAGGTGTGACCAACAGAATTAATTTCTAGAACATTCAGAAGAAATATTGTCATTCAATAAAAAATTAATCTTAAAACCAGAGAAATTAATTCTTTTTTTTTAAGTATAAAATTTGTTAATAATAAACAATATCTCAGTAAAATTTCAGTAGAGCACATGGTCCAATACAGACAAGTATATTTTTAAAGCAATTATTCAAAGACAAATTTTTAATCCCAAGAAATCCTTTTGTGTTAATGGGAGTGCAGATAATGAATCTGAAGAAATTGAATATGATTCAGTCCATATTTTGGGGGGGACTGATTAAGTGGTGACTGTCAGGAAAGTTACCAACAATCTAGATACAGGAAATATACTGTAATTAAAAGTGGATGAACAAAGTCAAAGATATGTAAATATTACAATATCAGAGTAATTTCCAATTATAATCTTCTTACAGAAGTTTGTCCCATATGAGTGAATGTTTTGGAAAAAAATTACATTTTTAACATATCAAAATGTGGAAAAAATTAGCTATGACATAGAATGAGCATCAGAAAATCATAGAAAATGTAGGTAGATCGTCTCACATGGCAGACTATATATGGAGAGAAAAGTGATCACATTCTTCTTTGTGGGATGAAATCCAATAGTTGGAGAGTCAGAAAATTGAAGGCATTATCCACACAGAGTCAGGACTATGGATTTCAGTATGGTAGAGTTTTCTTTACTCAGTATAATATATAATACACAAGATGCTAATGTCTGTTCAATACATTGCTTGAAATGAGCTGCATATTAGCCATTACTTTTTTATGTTTGCCCACTTTTATATGGATAAAACCCAACTATTTACTTACATGTACACTCAAAAAAAAAAAACTGTAGAATTCATTGGCCTAAATACTGAACTAACAACAAAAATACAAAGAATGTTCAATCATTTGAATCACTTGCAGATTGATTCAAAGAAATATAAAAGAAAAGTTTATAAAAATCATTAATTTGCACACATGTACTTTTTATCAGTACAATCAGAAGACCTTGCTAGACCCATTTTCATAGCTCTACCAAAGAAGCAAGGTGCAAATGAATACAAGCTTCATTGGACAATCATTCTAATAAGTCACATAAAAAAACTTACCCAAATTCTGACACAATTCAATTTTTGACATCAAAAAGAGCAATGTGTTATATATAAAAATGCATTTGATAAAATATGACACAAAGAACTATTTGAACTGCTAGGTAAGCTTGATTTATTTGGGAAGAATATTAGAATAATCCAGAACTTATACTGGGGAGCATACCGCCTACATATGGATAGAAAATGAATTCAGTAAATATACAAAAATAGAAAAGGGCATAAGTATCTTACTAGATTTATTCAAGCTCTACAGTGAGGCAATCCTGAGAGAATTAGAAGTGCTACAACTTACAAATTGAAGATATCAAAATCAATCAATTCTAAAATATAAATATCTAGGAAGTGATCTAAGAGGGGGCATAAAATGTGACACCAAAATCCAAAGGCACATTGGAATAGAGAAACATGCCTTTGAAAAACTATGCAAAGAATCAAGAAACAGGAAAATTTCATTAGAAGCAAATATTGAGTGCTTTTATACATTTTATCAACCTTTTGTGAGTTATTTAAAGCCAACACATATTTTGGATTGTAAGAATAATAATTCTTTTTTTTGTGAGTGAATATTGCATCAACAATTTTATTGGAGATATCAATAATTTTTCCAGATAGAAGTCCTACTATTTAACCCATAGCTGGGTGTAGAAGAGATGGATTCATGCCTTTCCCAAGGGTATTTTCACATAAGTGAATGTAGCAAACTTGATTAGAATTCAAACTTGGCACTCTAGTTTCTCATTCTATGCTACTATCTAGTAAACCACCAGTACACCCACTGGAAACAAAGAAAAGTGTATTTAACTGTGATGAAATATCAGTCCTCCTCTGTGGTCGTGAATACTGAACAATCTCCTCACAGATGAAGAAGAGATGTGGTTCTACAGAAGGATACTGAGAATATCATTGGCTGAACATGTTAGTAACAAACAAGTAAAAAAAGACACTTAGAATCAGAAAGATGCAGTTGAAATTTACATGATACATAATAAGGAAAGAGGGCTTTTGTAAATGGAATAGTAGAACAGGAATTGTGAGAGATGAGAAAAACAAACCTTACCATTACTATATAATATAGAAATGGATTTTTATTAAAGTGAATATATACAATCCCCCCAAAAACACCCACATTCATTTAAATGCTTATAAATCAATGTGTATGTTCTTCTCTTGTAGCTTTATTATAGGTAACCTTTTTATGTTAGAAAGGCATCAGCACATTTCTCTCTTCTCTCTTATTTGTTTACTTTTCACTTACAAGTTATTTTTGTTGATTAATACACTTTTCTTCTCACTCCTCTTCAGATGTGGTGGAGTTTCAGCGCTCTCCTGCCATTTGTCATTCTCCAGGTCCATTGACAAAAGTGTTTGACTTTCCTGGTGTTCACGATTCTCCCAAGAGAATGTCTTGCCTAATCAGTTGGAAACGATGCCGGGAATGTACCTTTACCGATCAGTCATCAGATGAAGTAGGTACACTATACAATTAACACTTACACCTTCATCTAAAATTAATGAAAGGAAACAAATTATATGTATGACAGTTAACAGTTTTGTTTCAACTGTGTAGTATTAATAAGACTGCATAATTTATATACAATATTTTTCAGTTTTTTTTCAATTAATGATCTTAGCTTTAGTGGTCAAAAATGTACCAAAATGGTACTTTGATAATTTTTATTCATTTTTTTATTTGTACTCTATTTGTGGATGTGTGAATAGAATAATGTTTATCAACAAGGAATGTGAAATTGGTGTGGCAAATTCAAATTTCAGGTGATTCTGTTTCATTTACTTTATACTAATGCCCTTAGAAAAAGCATGAATCCACCTTCCTCCAACTATGGGTTTAAATAGCAGAGCAAAATGGGATGTCTTGGCTTGAGGTGGCAACCAGACTAAGAGAGGGAAAATTCTGAATTCATAACCACTCTGAATAGGGATGTGCTCTGTCAGGTTATTTTTTAATCATTTCAACCCCAAGCAAGGCAATAAAGCCACTAAGATGAACAGGGTTACTGAGAGTGAAAGAAAACATTAGTGAGAAGAAAGAACAATAAAACAGGATTCAAAATAATAGAAGAGGGTGACTGACATTGCATTTAAATGTTTGAAGATCATAGTTTACAAGGAGACAAGAAGCTTAAAGAGACTTCTACAGGTGAGAAGTGCAAAAGAAAAAACTATTAGAATAGAACTTACAGTTGCAACTAGCTATTTCAGCAGTAAAATGATGAGGCCTAGCTGTAAATCTAGTACTACATTTAACTTCATGAAGTTATGTTACCAAGGTGGAAAGCTCATCAGAACAGTTACCATGAAAATATTTGTAGAAAAAGCTCAGGGAAGTCATGTTACAGTGGTGGGAGAGTGACAGGAACCTAGATGCTAGGTCAGGACCAATAACATTGCAGATTCTTCTTTGGATTTTGTGAAGAATTTCATGATATATAAAATGGTGCACCAGACCATCTTCAATGCAGGGTTCCTTAGACACACTACTACTGCTACATCTGCAGTACATGTGGTGATCCTATAACTCTAATGGGTTATGGGATTCATGATATGATGTAATGTGGCTACTGTATTTGTCAGCTCCAAAAATTATTTAAATATTATAAATATTACACTTACATTATTATGGTTGAGAAGAAAAAGCATACACCTAAAAGACTGAGTTAGGGTAAGCAGTCATCTCAAAATTGTTTTAAAACAGTTCCCTCTGATTACATACACTGATTGTATTAGTAATAATATTATCTCATTTATTATTATATTATTATTATTAAAGATGACAAAAAGTCGGTTATATCAGGAAAATAAAGAATGAAAGAAATATAGTTAAATCTGTCATTATTGTCCAGTAAAAAAAAAAGCAGATTGTTCTTTATTATATATGAATGGTCACACATCCTTGAGAAAAATAATGGAGTGGTTTCTTCTTCATGGTTTAGAATTCTGAGTTTTCCTTCTCTTAGATTGATTGTCACTTAAGATTAAAGAGCCTAGTGTACCCTAATATTTAACTCACAGTTGGATGTGGAAAAGAGAAAGATTCATGTTGTTCCCAAATGTATTTTTGTAAAAGTGAATGCAACAGACTAGACTGGAATTTGAATTCTACTCACAAATTCCACTTTCTATGCTGATATTCATTAAATGTTACCTTCACATCCTTGAATATAAACTTGGAAAAAATAAAAATGACCAATAAAACAAGAAAAGATGTTGACATTAATATGTATAGGAATGAGAACAAGAATGTGGTGATGGGAAATGTCCAGTCTTCAAATAGAATAACATTTGAGTTTGTTTTGAAAACTTCTGTCATTTCATTCTGCCATTCTATAAGGAATTATTATATATTTGCTTTGTTCTTCCATTTTAACAAGCATTCTTGACTACAAAAATGCAGTAGAGCTTCTGCTACAATTGATTCTTCAACTGATATATAAACTATATATATGTTCCTGTTTCCAACTATACTATCACAAACTTGAGCAAACTTTTTACTATTTTAACTAATGACTCTCTTCTGCTAAATTTCTGGAAATCAAACTTCATCATTTTTTGTTTACCAACAACATTTTAAATTGCTACAAGAAAGCCTGACAACCTGTGCAATTTCTGAAAACATATACTTTGCTTTCTATTCTGGAATTATGCAAATTAGTTCATCCTAATTAATTACAAATTCAAAATAATCATAACATTACTGACAGATAAGACATCATTTCTAAATTTGCCTGTCTCCTTTAGGTTACATAAATTAAATTCTGTTTTTATTTGAGATATTTACTATATTTCGTAGTGTGAAATTTTATTACAGAATTCAAGGGGTGTCCATTATATTGTAAATATGTACAATAATATAGTCATTGATATTTGTTTTGTTTTTTATATTTCAAATATATATATATATATATATATATATATAGAGATAGAGAGAGAGAGAGAGAGATAGATAGATAGATAGATATAACCTTAAAAGAGAAATAAGATATCGTATAGCTATTGAGTGATAAGAAAACAATCCTGGAAATTGTCCAAAATTTGAACAGCAATTGCAGAACAGTCAAAAAGAAATTAAAAATATTAGCAAGACAATAAAAATACTTTTATGCATGTCCCAAAAAGAGATTGTAAGTAGTAATTTATAGTGATGAGTGTAGAGCAGTAGTTCTCAGACTTTTAGAAGTCGGGGTGCACTTGAAATCCTAGCAGTAATTGTAGGCATACTATATACAAATTTCAGAAAAATATGTTATAATGAATCAAATATTGAAGTAAAGAAATAATTCAATAAAAAAGTATAAAATTAAACATACTTTAAGTTTATTCATTCTTGTGTTTATGAGAAACATAAGCCTGATGAGTCTTAGCAATTTCTTCAATGTTTGGGCATATATTTGATAGGCCAACTCTCATTTCCCTGTCAATAAATTGAACAGTTCCTCTCTTTTTACACTTAATTGCGGTGAGGGCAGAAAAGCCTAATTCATATAAATATGAATGAGACAGGTACTGAAATATAATAAAGTAAGTACATTTATTTCTTATATCTAGACACATATTTCTCTGGAATGCCAGAGCACAGCTAGACATCTTCCAGGGTGCACCAGTGTGCCCAAGCGCACCATTTGAGAACCACTGGTGTAGAGCTATATTGAATGGAACCAGTGACTGGGTTAGAGGTTGGGTCATTCATAGAAATAGTCAACTTGGAAGGCAATAATGGAGAGGTGAAGTAATGTTTAAGGTTAGTATTATAGGCTGTGAAATTATAGATCCTTTCAAAATTGATGATAGTATCAAGATAAATGCAGAGAATTAAGTTCTTGGACAAGATATAATTTTGAATGGTACAAGTCACAACCATGACATATAGTCTTACATAAACATATTCTTTAGCTTAAGTTAAAGAATATATTCATGTAAGACAATGCTCTTTTAGATTTCGCAAATCTGACTATTATCCACATAAAACTTTTCAAAAATATTAAAATAATAAAATAAACCCTGGCTTATCAAGATACTAATCCAATAGAAAACTTGTGGTGCATTAAAAGAGATGCATATGAAAATGAAAAAAAAATACAAGCAAAAATCTCTGGGAAGCAATAACACTGTTGCAGATAATATTTAAATTGAGAGAGTAAAAAATCAATGGATGAAAGCCTAATGAAAATTATAATATATCAAGGAGCACATATTAATATACAAAGTAATAAAATAATTTATTCAAGTATATGAAATATTTTGCTAACCAAATATATATTCCTATGGCCTGTATCTTTTGAATTTATTTATAAATAAAAATTTATGTTGCACCTGGTTTTCATAATAAAACTTGACACCTCTAAAATAAGTTATGAATTAATATTTTTATAATGCAGATATATATAAGCTGAAACTTAGATAATAAACATTGACTTGCATAATAAAATCTGACCTATATCTTTCAGTCAGCTCTATAATTCCATCTTTCAAGCAAAGTTTTATTGAAAGTAACTTTTTGCATATTTCCAGGGAACAGAAATTAAGTACATTTTGTAAAGATTGGAATAAATGGTAATTTAAAAGAGGATTTTTGGTTAAATACAACACATAAGTGAAAAGTAAAACAATTTTTGTTGGCTACTACAGAGTCATGATGGAATATGTTAATCTGATGGAATATTATACTCTTTCTGTTAGCTATTTCCACATGTTTTCATGCATTTATTGCTGCATTAAATTGGTCTAATTGGGAGTAGTACTTGTTCAAATCGATCATTTGCTTTTTTAGGTGTTTATAATAGAGGACACTTTGCCAATTTCACATGTACACAGCATCACCTTTTTTAGATGTAGATCAGCTTTTTGTATAGATAGCAGTGGTTCCTTTACTGTGACAAATTTTTTAAAAAAGATAGTATATTTTTGTTTAAAAAGTGAATACATTTCAGATTTTATTTTACTTCAATTATGTGAATTTACACATCAAATAGAATAACATAACCAAAGCTGGCGAAAATGATTTTCAACACTTGATCTGATTATTTTGAAACTGACATTGATTATTACTTTTATTTTTTATTTTTTTTAACCATTGTTCAACAGTCACTTAAGGTAGAAAGTTACTGTATGAGGTTTTTTCAAGAGTGTAAAAGGAGGAAGTAAAGAGTGCATATTATGAGGATATATGTTGACAATAGACTTGAAGAGGGTAAGTGACTAGAGAAGCATCCTTTCAGATGTTTTAGAGAAGCTTTCATTTATCAATGAAATATGAAGGGAATGAGTAGATCCTGTGTAGATGGAATGGTGGATCCTAATTGTGAAGACTCTAGACTTGTGGTACTAAGGAATGTAGATTGTATGAACATAGGGTTGAAGGATGGAAAATAATTCATCACCTACAAGGCTCCATAAATTCTTTTGAACTTTGTTAAGGCTGAAAAATGATGATTGGGCAGCTACAGACTAGATATGGCAGCAATACTCCATTTATCATCTGAACTGACTTTTGTAAAGATAGAAAATAGCAAAAGAAGTCAGGCACTTTCTGGTACTACTGACCATTTTTCCAACATCTTTTTATTGTATATATAAGTTCCACTTAAGGTCTGGAGTCCCAATAGACATTCAAGACAAGGAATCTCAATGAGAGTACAACTGTTTGTCATGCCTGGAGTAAAATCATGATCTACTTGGTGATGATGACACATTACTATCTTGGTTTTGGAGCTGTTGAATGTTGCAAGCCAGTTCCATCACCCAACCAATTAAACTGTGAAAGCTAGGTCAGAGAATAGATCAGCTACCAGGCTCCGGTCATCTAGGTTTTTGGAGGTGCATATGTATCATCTGCATATATATTTACTAATGATCTGAAAATGATCATAGACACATTATTAATATGAAGCAGAAAGAGGCTAGGACTGAGGAGAGAGCCTTGTAGGATGCCTACATTGATTTTATATGCTTCAGAGGACTAACCATTAACAAATGCCTTCATGAATCTATCTGATAGGAAGTACTTCTCTATCTGTCTATATTTCTGAATGACATCCATTAAAAACATGGCACGAGGAACTAGAACAGTCTACCCCAGTGAGCAAAATAAAGGGTTCAGTTCGACATTCCAACCACCTGAAGAATGCCAGAGCATACAACGGCCGAAACGCTGTAATAAATATGGCGAAAAAGATGAGGACAATAGTCCAAATAATGTAAGTAATTAAGTACTTCTCAGTTGAGAAGATGCTTCTAGAGATACTATAGCCCAAGAATTTGTGCAGCAACCTTGTCAAAGGCCTTTGAGATATCTAAGGTGATTATTCTCATGATTAATTTATTATCAAGCACTTCATTAATTCTATGTGCAATGACTTTAGCAGAGATCCTAGAGAAGTGAAATCTATACTGTTGTACACTCAGGAGATTATTTATATTGAGATTAACAACATTCTTGTTGATCATAGGCTCAAAGAGTCTGCTGATGATGTGTCTGATGAGGTAATATTGCAGTTGGAATAAGCAATGAGTAATATCTTGATTTGATTGCAAACTACTTTTAACATATTCAGTTATTCATAAATCTTTGATTGAATAAATCTTTTTTGTGGTTGAATCAACTTTTTACTTTAAGAAAAGTATAATATACCAAAAATGTTTCCTATTTTCTCCCATATTAGAATAAAAAAATGAAATATGCCATTTTTATCAAAATCTCTTTTAAAATACATACTAATATAACAGCTATGAAAATACAATCAAAAGTGAAATTAAGACTAAATTCTTTTAATGCTATCTAATAACGTAGCAAATTGGGCCTTTGGGCTAAGCCAGAATGTTCAAACAGATTAATCAAACAGTCGATGAAGTTAATAAACACATTGTCCTCTAATTAACATTTCATTAAACACCCACAACTTGTCGGCATATTGCTTTTAAGGGAGTATAATTAATTTATACAAAACTAGCATACAATTTTCATAAATGTTTGACAGAATTTCTTTATTTACAACATACTTACTTCTGGATTATCTATTTCATAAATTCCTTTGCAGTTCTACTTACTTTCAGAAGATCTTTGCTTTTTCTTCTTCCAGTTCTGTTTTGGGAATTCTGCAGAAATGGCTATTCTGAAATTTTCCAATAATTAATCATCACATCTATGTATGTCAGTATATTTTAATACTTTCTTTCTGTTTTCAGGACAGTGAACACAATTTCCAACTTGAGGACAAGGTGACAGTAACTGCCAATAAACCACCATTAGCTATTAACAATATCCAGGAGGTACGGCTAGCCTCAACATGCTCTTTTGCCAACACTTGACACTTGCAAAACATCGGTTGAAGCAATTTCTTCCTTTCCATAACAATGATTATCACTCAGTATGCAGAACTGGATTTCTCTCATGGTAAAATACCTCTGCCCACTGCCTACACCAGCCAGATTCCTCCACTGTCTCTGTTGGAGATCAGATATGTCATTGTGCTAAAGAAGACAATGCCAAGGTGGCTGATGACAGGGCCATGAATAGCCTCAAGCTTGTGTCCTGTTTATAATTTGGATGTCAGAGCACTTGCTAACAAACTTGAAAGAACAAAACACAATGCAAAGTCACATTATGAAAATAACAATTTTTCTTCAATAAAGCCAAAAACAAGTAAAAAAAAAAAAGCCCTTACTCTGATAATAATTTTTTTTAAATAAGACAAAATATAAAAAAATAAAAGACTGTTTTAAATTTTTAATCAAACTCAAATTATTTTATAAAAACTGACAATTAAATTTGAGAAAAAATCTATAATAAATGAACAAAATAGTAACAAAAAAGGAAAAAATCCTATTTATTACTTATGAACTTAGTCACCTACTGGCTATGGAGGGAGAGAAGTAGACACACTTTATGTAACAACATTTAACTGATGAAAAATTGGAGAGATGAAGACATTTTTATGAAAAAAAGAAAGTAATACCTGCATACAGATATCCCACAATATCCTAACAGATTCATATATCAATGTGTTTGTGATTTAAAGCACAATCCATTACAGTAACAAGAACACAAGCACAATAAAAACAAAAAAGAGCATTAATGCAGAACATCTATTCATATTTTTTCTTCTTCCCTATCCCCTAATTCCACAACCATAAGAAAGAAAAGAAACAGAGAGAGGAGATAATTACACCCATTTCCCATTCTCATTCCTGTGATGACATCGGCAATGCTGACAATGTTACATTATTTGATTTCAAAGGGATTCTCTCCCTTTTTTAAGAGAAAATAAAAATTCATAAACTGCAAATATTTTTATTTAGAAGATTTATACAAATGCTTACATATATAGATACATACCAATATAAACATACACATATATGCACATATACATTAAGTGTATGTATATGTGCATACATGTTATATTACATGCACACACAGAAAAAAATCAAATTGATCAAACTCTACCCAACATCAAAAAATTATCTCAAATGTGATTTATTAAATATGTGTGTGCATGTGTATGTGTGTGTATGCATGTGTGTGTATATATATATATATATATATATATATACCCAAACATACACACTGTACATCCATGTATATTGGAGATATTATGAATATGTAGGTGATGCAACTTTAGATGATGATGATGACGTGATGGTGATGAAACTTTGAAAGGCTGAATCCATGACAACTTCCAAATTGGTTTCTAGGATTCCATTTTTTAAATAAATGGCCTTTGTTGCTGATTCAAATAACATCAACATTCTGTCTGGGTTTTTATTTTATTTTATTTATCCTTTTGAGATATCTCATTCCCTCCCTCTCACTCTTTATCTCTCTCTCTCTCTCAGTTGATTTGTATGTTGGTCACTTTCTCTACCCCACTCTCGCCCAATGCCAGTCAGCCTTGACATTGTCACGTAATCTGGATTTGGAAATCATTCAACACCAGAATGGCAGTCACAGTGGTGAGACATCAACAATGTTCATTAAGAAGCAGACATTTGATTTTTAGTTTGTTCTTTTGATTTCTTTTAAAGTGAAAAGCAAAAAAAAAAAAAAAGCAAAAACAAATTAGACCTAATTTTACATCAAGATAAAAAAGATAAACAGTGAAAAACAAAGAAAGAAAAAAATGAAAGAATGATTAAAAAAAGACTTTTTAATTCTTTTAAACAAATTGCAACTTGGTTACTTTTAAAAATGGAAAACAAAAAGAAAATAAATAAATGAAAAATAAATGAAACTAACAGACTCATGTGGTGTCATTCTGATAAAAAAGAAACTTTTGCTAAGACTTCTGCCTTGATTGTACACCACAAAGAACATTATCATTCATTTACAAAAAAAAAAAAACAAAAAGAAATTAAAAAAATAAAATCGAAAAGTTTTTTTGGGGAGGTAAAGACAAAAAACAACAAAATCTAACATGTTTTCAGTAACTTTAAAAAGGAAATAAAAATACATACACGTGCACACACACACACACACACACACACACACACACACACACACGTAAATATATATATATATATATATATATATATATATATATATATGATTGTATGTATGTAAGCATTTGTATGCTTGCATATAAGCATATTTGTGCATATACCTGTGTGAAAGTGTATATATGTACGTATATATTCATATGAATGTATGTATATATAAAAAAATATCTAAAGGTGCACACACCCATACATGCATGAATGTTTGAGTGTATGCATATATCTAAGTATGTATGTAAACCTATTTATTTCTAGGATAAATACCATTATCCAAAATGGTTTATAAGGCTTGACAAAATAATTCTAATTCATATTTCTTTTTTTAATCTTTTTTCCCTATATTCTGACAAACAGGCCCAACCCTTCCTGTCCCACTACCCACTTTCCAGCCAACAGTCCAACACTTCTTTTGTCCCCCATACAGAGATTCTATGCAAACCGTTACTGGGTAGAAGGTTATCAGTTACTACAAAAAATAAATAGAAATTAACAAAAAAGATGAAATAATTTGGTGAGCTATTATAATATAGAAATCACATGTTCCATTTCGAATTCACATATATAATAATTGAAAGGATTGATATGAAAAGCATATGTATTTACAGATACAAAGATATATAATATGTGCAAATGATGCATATACCCTTACATGAGTGTGTGTGAGTGTGTGGTTAATGAAAGTTGCCTCAGCAGCAATTATTGCAGTATAGTCAAACACATACATGCAAACATATATCTATGTATATTCACACACATTCAAATATAGAAAAATTCTTCCAGGTAAAACAAAGATGTTTGTTCTTTCAAATGAAAAAGAAAGATTGAAAGGAAAGAGACAAATGTATTCTTTTTTTCTTCAGGTTTATTATTATTATTACTACTACTACTATCATTATTATTATTATTATCATCATCTTCAGAATGAGTCTTTCACTCCTAATATTGGTTTGTGTTTTTACTTTCTCTCTTTCTCTTTTATTCTTATTTTGTTACAATCAAGGTAAAAAAGCAACACCAAATATTGTAGCCAGGAAAACTATTAAATACTTTTTGTTAGAGCAAGAACATGAAAACCATGTAAAACACCTGGTATTTCTCTATGCATATATATATATATATATATATACATACACACACACACACACATATCAAACTCTCTGATCTAGTGGTATTATACAAAACTCTGGAAATAAGCTATTTCAACATTTATTAATTGGCCAATAAATATATAAATATATATGGTGGGAGGTACATAATATATATATATATATATATATATATATATATATATACATAATTAAGTATTATATACACATACACACACATGTATGCAAGGACACACTCATATATAATGCATTTCTTCAGTTACCAAACACTGTGATTTTAAAAAAATATACCAAATCTTATTAGCAGGGAGATATACTTTTGTTCAACATATGTTTGTTAAAAATGTTTATCTTTTGTCTGTCTGTCTGTCCACAATGGAAAAAAAGCAACCAATTATAGTTTGGTTATTTGATTATGCATAACAAGGACAATAAAAAAACGAATTCCCTTTTCTTCCCCTCTCCACACCTCTATTTTTTTTATCTTCCTGATGTTACATTTTTAGGCTGGGAAAAATAAATTAAAAAAAAAAGAAGATAAATTTGAACATAAAAGTGAAAAGTTGTTGAAAATGATTTTTAGAAAGTTTTTCAAAGTTGTTATTTAGTTCTGCTGCTTAATTATCTTCCTTCTGATGAAAATTGTCTTTCTCTTCCTTTTCTTCTTTGTACAATTTCTGCTTGACAGAGCAGGGGTGAAATGGCCAAGACAGGTCCCTAAAAATAATTTTATTATTAACAAACCTTTTAAGAAAATCCTATTTGAAACAACTAATTGGAAGAAAATTAAACAAGACAGTTTTCTTTAATGTTTTCTTGTATTCAAAAGTTATAAAGAAAAAATCCAATATATTAAAATCATGAAAAGCATATAATTTTTTTCTGAAATAGTTTTTAGTTTTCTACAGCAGATACATCAACAACAGCAACAACAACAGCAGCAACAAAAATATCCTATGATTACTGATCTTACATTTGTAGTGATGAAAACATTATGTTCCTAAGGTGTAAATACCTAGTTTCCATATAACCTTTCAATTTGGTATATTAAACATAACTATATTATTACATATTTTTCTCTAAACATTTTGCAAATGTATTTTACTTTCTGGTTGTTTCATATCATCATCATCATTGTCATCATTATCAACATCATTAACCATTTATTGTTAATGTTATTATTATTATTATTATTATTATCTCAATGAATGAGAAAAATGTTACAGTGATTATCCAGAGATGTTAAATTCTACCCTTAGTGATGTTTTATGAAATAGCTCATATTCACAACAAAATTTATATTGTAGACTTGTAACATTTAAAATTTTTTATTCTTCTTCTTCTTCACCTGTCTGTGTATTTGTCTACTTATCTGTCTGTCTATTTACCTATTTCACTCTGCTGGATAAACAATAAACATGTTTCATCTTCTAAAATTCACATTCCAATTTAAATAATATTTTTGAGTTATGAATCAATACCCCTCTCTTTATAAAGTGCTTACATTAAGTGCTGTTTAATGAGGATCAAATAACATTCAAGATGTTCATGATTGTATTTCCCATTTTCTCATTTTTTTTTCTTCTGTCTCAATATATATATATATATATATATATATATATATATATATATATATATATATATATATATATATATATCCATTATGTCTACCAAATTGCCTTAGCAAACCTCATTTAGAAATAAATGTTCATTAGTTGGGTTTCTGCAGTCAATGTAAAACAGTTTTATAATTAAGCATAGAAAATTGCTGAAAGCTCATAATCATTCTAACATGGGGAACTCTGAATCCAACTCAACAAAGTAAGATTAAAAAAGATCATGCAGCTCTCATTCATCATTCCTTGCAGGATGTCTGTTTTTATAAAAGACTTTATGGTTTCAGCTTAGGCATGATGAATTAAAAAAACATTTTTGAGTTGTGTGTCTGTATACATAAACATCAATGTACATGTACTTATGTGGATGAATACCTTAAGGTTATCTTCATAAATAGATGTGCGTGTGTATATCCTTGTGCACATTGTAAATGTATACACACTAATGGATCATGTGTTAGATGTGACAGAGGATTTTTAATTCTGTTACATGAATGCATGAGAAGGTAGAAACAGGAATATATGTGTATATATGTATGTATATATGAATTACATGTTACATTGGTGTGTATGGACACATCTGTGAGATGATATTTATGAGTTTTGTATGTGATTTTATCTCTCAGTATGTATGTATATATATATATATATATATATATATATATATATATATATAATATTATGCAACATGCATTGTGCTCACCTAGATCTTGCTACTGAGGTATACGAATTAACTAGAAATATGTAGCCATTGTAGAAGCAGACAGACCCTTTTTAGCAGGCAGGTATAAGAGATATTCCTTCTGATCCCAATTATAGCGGGTTAAACCATAGACATAATTTTTTTTCTCATGATGCATAAAAGAAAATACTCATGAAATTGTCTGCAAAATGGCAAATAAATTAAATCCCACCAAATATTTTGCCGGGGGTGGGTGGAATTGTTTGTGAAGTTTTAAAATAAAGGGTTTCTTTCTCTTTTTTTGTTTCTTGTCTTTTTCTTGTTTCTGTTATTAACTTTTCTTCTTTGTCCACTTATACTTTCTATTTCTTTTTCAAGAACTTTTGGATTTGTTATGAACAATTTTGGAAATTACAGTTCTTTTAAACTGAAGATATTATATGCAGAGTGTATTAGAAATGGCGAGTATAATGTTCAACCAAAAATATGTGTTTATATTGTTATTGTATATATATGTTTCTAGACAGTGGTGACAGTAATCAGTCTGTATGCTATTAGATAACTAGAAGGTAAAAAACCTAAAAGAGAGAGAAATTATAGAAAAAAATCCATTGATCAGTTAGTTAATTACTAAATTCCCACAATATTATATACCCAGACCTTCATTAACCAAAATAAATATGTACACCGGACAACAATGGAAGGTAAGATGCAGTACAGTTATCTCCCCTTAGCTATCATGTTTTCCCTGAAGTCTTTTACTTGATTTGGATCTGTTATTTTCCTTATATTTCATGTCCAACGTTAGGCTACATTGTTTAAAAAATGTGTTTTGATTAGACTATCAAGAATTTGTTTCCATTTCATAGTGTTAGTGTTTTTCATTTGTCATGTATAAGAAATTATCAAATGTTTGTGGGATCTAGCCTGGAAGAAAACTGGAACAAAAATCTTATAAATGTTCAAACACTTATGGTAATGGTAAAAATAACTGTTTCCATACAGGAAACATTCATTGACAGAATGGTTAGTTTTACTGTTGGTTGAAATCTATTACAGCGTTTTACTAAAATAGTTTTTTCAGGAAATTAGACTTCTCAAGTCCACCTAATATTATGACTTTTGTAAGGAGATCAATTGATCTTAATCCATTCCAATGTTAACTGTATTAAATGAATTTCCATTCATTATTAATGAAATCTTCTAATGTTTAAGAATTTAGTACATATATTACCTTATTTATTGATAGTATGTATCATAAATATACTCCAGTAGAGATAAACAAAGCAAAATTAATTTTATATACATCACCCAAACTAATTTTCTGTAAATTAATAACTAACATATTGAGCCAGAATTACTACCTTATTTTTTTATTAATTCAAGATGCAGATACAAAACTGGTAAGTGTACCAATTTTCATAATGATTGTAATTGTACACTTAAAAATATAGGTATATATAAATATGTATAAATAAAAGACAAGAGGAAATCTTTTCTTTTATTTATATTGTCTTTACAGATTTATTTTGTTTATATCTGAATTTTTACACATGTAACATGTATCCATAAATATAGAAATGTAATAAAAACATAATAATTTAACCAAGTAATCACTGTGTGTAAATATGTGCACATGAAAAATGAAATTTGAAAATGCTGACAAGAATTATTCTAAAATTTTCTCTCTCTCTCTCTCTCTCTCTCTCTCTCTGTATATATATATATATATATATATATATATATATATATATATATATATATAGATAGATAGATAGAGAGAGAGAGAGAGATGATAACTTGAAAAAAATGGGAAAATGAATTTTTAAAATGTATGGTGTATGTACATAAGTATGTCATACAATGTGTTACTTGAACTCAAAAATTTAGTACATAGGTTTTAGTTGATATCAAATAGATTTTCATTTTCTTTTTTCTTCCTGTTGATATTAGTTCTTAGGACCTTTTTCTGATTATATGTATGGGATTTGGACCTTCAAGTTGCAGAAAGAATTTTAGAAGAAACTGAATACAAAAATGTAAAAAAAAAAATACTATTATATGTATTGTTTATATTGAGTTGTTTTAAAGTCAGAAGTGTCAAAAATCATTGACATGTACTTATGATGTATAATACTTAAAACCAAGGCATTTTCTAATCAAACATGTAAATAAAGAATGATTGAATTTGAAAAAAATCTGAAAATGCAGTTGTTATGGAAATGTCTTCTAAGGCTGTGAATCACTAAACCAATCATTTGGTTGTTGTCTTTCTGGAATTTTCCTAATATACATGTATCAAAGAAGCATGTATAAAAGAAGCAAACCATACAATGAGAAGTCAGAGAATATATTAGTGTGTGTGAGTGTATGTGTGTTTATATCATTATTGTTGTATTTTTATATACAAAACTAATTGAAATTTTTATTTATTCATTTACAATGAATTTCACATTGACTTTTCTCTTATGTTAGAGAAATACAATACAATGTTTCATTTTGAAAATTTTTCCATTAAATTTTTATTTATCGATTTTTCATAAATCATGAAATATTTACTTTCACCAAGTATATTGTGTATGCATATATGTGTTTGCTTTCAATACAGGAAAGATTTGAAAACAATTATTCAATGTTTTATAAAAAAATATTTTAAATGATATCAAGGATTTCACAGTACAGGAAATAACATTAAAATATTCCTTTTAAGAATTTCTTTTAAATTACACATTTTTAATTTATGGAGAAAATGTAAGAATAAAAAATGCCAAATAAGAGATTTTATTTTTATTCCTTTGCAATAAATATGTTGACTGACCATCTCAGATCCAAAGAAATCAGAAAACAATAAAAAAAACAATCTGCATCATAAATTTATGATATATATATATATATATATATATATATATATATATATATATATATATATATATATATATACAGCTGTTAGAAACATTTCTTTTAATTTTTCCTTATTTTAAATTAAAATTTCTGGAAATATTTCATGTCAGTTTCTCACAAAGATCATTATATTTTATTTGAGATTTTTAAATCCTGTTTTTATAGCCTTATTGTGAAGACAAGAACAAAAAATAAGCAATTTTAATAATTTTTGTAAATATTCAGAATTTTTTAATTTCATTAAAAACAACACAAATTTAATAAATTGTAGGGAAAACTTATAAAATGTGACAAATTCTATGATGACTTATTTTACAAAAACTTATTGAAAAGTATTCATTTAAGTTAACAATGAAGAAACAGGGATATTGTCTTTTCTCAATAATTTTAGTTATTTTCAACTCTGGTTTAATTTAAAAGTCATTTTTCAAATTAAAGTTTATTTGAGTAAAAGTAAATATAAAAAATAAAGTTTATCATATATTTTTCATTATTTCTAATTGTTTTAATGTAAAGAGAGAAAACAGGTGTGAATTGAATAGAACAGAATAGCATTACCAATAAGCTGAATCATTTATTTATTCATACAACAGGTCACTCTCTCTCTCTCTCTCTCTCTCACACTCTCTCTCTTTTCAAGACAGTTTTGATGTATTGAATACATCTTTTCTTTATTATGTATATACATGCATACATATATTGTGAAGGCAGGAGATACACACATGCACATCTACATTTAGCAATCGATATGCACACCCAAAATACATGCATATATATAGATAAAAGCAATTTTTAGACAATTCATGAACTGACATATTTTTTTAATCTGTACAAACTCATAGAAGGGCATTTGAAATAACTTAAGATGAGATACTGATATTGGCAACATCATAATATTCTGAGATTTTCAAAAAACTGTCAACCAAAAGAAAAGCCACCAACAATGATTACATGTCTACTATTAATTGGACAATTTGAAAACAATAAGTATGAAAGCAATTTTACAAAACTAATGATTATCATATATATATATATATATATATATATATATATATATATATATATATATATATATAAGAGAGAGAGAAAAGTGCATGCATGAAAATATAACATGCATATATGATACACAAAGGACAGTTACTTAATATTTGTAAGATTAAACTTCATTGTGTTGTACAAATGTAACAGAAATGAAACACTAATATAAAAGTCAATTTTTCAGTTATATTTTTATAGTCAAATATTTTTTGCTAAAACTTAGGGGTTAAACAATGATAAGGATTCTACTTTTGAGAATCTGAAATGTACACATGAATCAAAATTATTGCAGAGATTTCTTATTAAAATATAGTTGTCCGTATTGTTTATATCTTTTTATACACTAATAATATAATAAAAAACTAAAAATAATTCTAAATGAAAAGAATGAAAACTCTTTTGCATCACAATGTTACTTTCTTTGGATTGTTATTGGGACAAAAAGAGAAATTGACTCAGATTTTGATTCATGAAATGACAAAAAGTTACAACTTGTTTCTTTCTTTTTTTTCATTATAATTTTCATTCTATGTACTTTTTCAGCTTTCTTTTTGTCTTTGCCCAATTTTTTCTTCTTTTCTTCTTCCTTCTGTACCATTTCCTTTATTTTTTTCTTCTCTATTTGATCAATTATTCATCCCATCAACATTAAACATCAGGGAAAGAAAATGACAATAATAAACTTCCAAAGATCTAATAAACATTGTAAATTAATCTTTTCCTTACTTAATTTCAGGAAACCAAATTTGCTTCTTTTTGTTTATTAATAAACCCTTAAAATTGCCAGAAGCAACACCAGAAAACTAATTTTCTCAAAGCTTATAACCTTTCTTCTAGGGATTGCTCCAAATATATGCAAATTATTTTACCATAAGTCATTAATTATTCAAAATAATAAAAAAAAAATTCAAGTTTGCAGGTGTATTCTCTTCCAAATTACACAAATGAATTTATTAGAATGAAGGTAACTTTTTAACAATATCTCATGTGAAATAAAATGAAAAGTAGAAAAAAGGACAATATTTTACAGACATGAATCTGGCAAGAAAAAATAAATTTCAGTTAATTTCAAATCAGTTTTTCTTTTGCTATTCAAAAAATATACTGTGTGAGGTCATTTTAGATCTTATAACATTTTTTAATATTCTATACTTTTCCTTTTAATATGTCTACATAAGGAGTTTAATAAGCAGATAAGTGATAAGAACGGCTCATTCAAAGAATGCATTTACATCCACTTATGTTTGTAAATGACATGAATAGATTATAAAAATATTAGCATAAATTCATGTAAGTCTAATATCAAATACATTCAATTTTGTTTTGTTAATTCAGGAAGAAGTTATAATTTTGTGCAAATAAGAAGCAATTTGTTCTATAGAGAATGTTTATATTTTTCTAACTACATTACACTAGTTATTGCATGTCTTAGAATTTTCTTGCCGCATGTGATATTGGTTTTTTTCATATGACAGTAAAGGTTTTTAGTCTCCCATTTTTGTATATTGAAAAAAGAAATTCTTGTATTGTTAGTGCATAAAGAGAAGTGAAATGTGATATAGATTTTAATAGAAACACAAATGGAAACTATTTATAAACAATTTTTCTTTCTAATGCATGCTAATATATATTTAGAAAGATTGCTGATTACCCTCTGAAATAAAATCAAGGGTCACAGATCAATGTAATAAGTTTGATCCTCAGTGGGTTCCCTACTAGTGTGGCCTTGTGCCTGATTAAGCTAAGCTTAATAAAAAATATTTACTTTATATTTGCATGGAAAATTTGAGAAATATGCATAAAAAAATGAAATAATCTTGGGTGAAATGTTTATAATTGTAATTTCAAAAATTACAAAATTATGTTCATTAGAAGAATCTAAAAATGATGGCTGTCACTAATAATCAATTTTCTATCATCATTTTATATAATAAAATAGCAGACAAACCGTAATAATCACATAGGTTTTTTTTTATTTTTAAAGTCACACCAACAAATCTCTTATCACTTTGTCAATTATTGTTGCATATATAAATTAGATTTCATCTACCAAAACCCTACCCAATTTCCCTACAAGAAAATATTTCTTCTGTGCATGTGATATTACCAGAAATGTAGCAATCACTTTAAGCAGTCATTTCATTCACTTTTATAAATTAAGACAGATTTTCTGATTCTAAAATGTAAAATCATAAATATTTTCTATTTGTTCAGTATTAATCAACTAAAGTATCAAGTGCAATGCAAAAAACAGAATAAAGTAATGACCTGCAAGTATTCATTGAAAAGAAAACTCAGTTTTTCATGGCTGGGCATTCAGATTTTCTCTTTATCTCATATAATTTATTATATAGTAAATTAGATAAATAATATTATTAAGATATTAATATTAGATAATTAATATTATTTAGATATAAATATTAGATAATTAATATTATTATTGGAAAAAGAAAAAAAGTGAAAATAATAAATATTGCTCATCAAATGTCAAGAAGAATGATATCAAATCCTAAGAATATCTAATTAGGTTATCAGGCATCAAAATATTCTATTGTTGACTAATTTTATATTGTCTACTTTTTATTAAACAGGTAAACATGGAACAGAAAAGAATAGATAAATATTAAAGATACCTACTGTAACGAACTTGTTTTGCAGGTCAGTATATTACTGCAGTGAAGTTAATCCTCATTAGGGATCCTAAAATTATGAACATGAACCAGACTAAGTTACGTTTAGTAAATAAGAAAGACATATGTTAAATGTATGTAAAATTTGCATGTTTTCATAATTGCATACATGTTGGTTTGTGTATCAGAAGATGATTTATATATTTTCATATATTTCTTTTTTTTTGTGTATTTTTGAAGGTAGGAAAGCTTCCAAAAATTGTATTCAAAATCTCTTTTTATAAAATATTTAACTGCACTGAACTCATATAAACACACCAGTACATCATATTGATGAACACATTCATATAGAATAAACATATGGACATACTTGCATGTAAAAAACATAGAAACTCTTCATCCAAAATAAAATAGTGTACAGACATACACACACACACATTACTGCACAAACATACAGATAAATAAATACTGTGTTATGCACACACATTTTAAAATTCTGCTATATGCATATATATATATGTGTGTGTGTGTGTGCTCTGTCTCTGATACTGAGAGCACTTTTAACCATGAATATAGCATACCATAAAACTATATATATATATATATATATATATATATATATATATATATATATATATATATATATATATATATATATATATATGTGTGTAGTGTGTGAACAATTTATACATTCCTACATACAATTGTATAAATTAAAACATTTTTAGAATTCTAAACAGAGATTTGTTTGCTTTGAATGTCAATAATAGATCAAGTTAATATTACCAAAAAATTACTGGTTTTATTTTATTTTTCTTTCTCATTTGTGCATTTCTCAGAAATCTTTCTCTACTTTTATTTCATCAATTTAATTTATGGACTCTAGTGAAAATAAATGGCTTTAGAGATTATTAACCTGTGTATTTCTTCTAAATTCTAGTTAAGGAAAGTTCAGATTTTAGTTCAATATCACAATTGCAATAATAATTGTAATTAAGCTGACTATCTGCATCTTAAAAATATTTTTTTACAAAGAGGAACATTTTTATTTTCTTGTGAATTTAGAAGGAAAATATTTCTGCTACTTTCTGGGAAGGATTTTTCAATTTTCTCTGATAGATTTTGTAGGCTGCAGATATAATTGTGTAAATGAAAGAAACTAAAATTTAAAAAAATAAACTTTATTGTTGAATTGCAAGGAAGATAATTTCAGTTGATAGCAACATAAATAGTTAATGATGATCATTTTTATTTGTTGATGTGTAATGTTGTTGTTGTTGTCATTGATATTAATTATTTCACAAATCATGCAAGGTTTGCAACAGCAAAGTCAAGAGAGAAAGGTAATTAATATTTGCCTTTTTGCCAACAAATTTTGTTATTGTTTTATTCTTTTTCTTCAATAAAAATATATATTTTAAAGTATAAGTCCAAACCAAAGAATGTGTACCTGAACACATTTTGCTGTTGTTGTAATCTGTTAATTTTTATCATTAATTACTTTAAGGAAATTATATATATATATATATATATATATATATATATATATATATTAGACTCAAATATTTTCTATAAAATGAAACTGAATGAACTTTACATAGTGTTTTCACAAATATACATTTGTTATTCAATTTATTACTGATTTCATTTGATGAAAGAATGACTCTGTATATGATGAATATATGAAAACTAATGTTTTAGTAAAATTTGTTCTGCTAAAGCCAGTTACAAATTATAGCAGAATTATAACAACTGTATACTTTTATGTAGTTATATGTTTTTATTCCAACTTATGAAATTATTGTTTTATAATTATGGCAGACAGACAGACTTGAAATATGACAAAAATATCCAAGTTAATCTATTCATTTCTTTCTACATGTTATGTTTTATCAGTGCAACTTTGCAGTATATTGTTTCACCATACTGAAAGACAGATCTTCAATGTGAAATCTGTTTAATGCAATGTTACACAATTTACACTGATATATATTTGTTACATGATTTAATCATATTTTGTTTTCTTATTATAATAGAAGTATCTGAGAGGCAAACAGGTTATTAATGCCCAATGTTCTGAAAATATAAACAACCATACATTTGGTACCATAAACAATCAGTTTTGTTATTATGGCCGACAGATTTAAAAATATGCTGACCAATGTTAAACTCTTCTGTCATTCATATGTGCTACTCAAAATGATCACTATATTGTTTGAATATCATTTTAGATTTTTTTAAAATATATAGGCCAAATGTTATGTATCATATTCAGTAATACATCTTTTTGAAAAAAGTACATGTTTTTATTATTATTATTATTATTATTATTATTATTATTATTATTATTACTATTATCATCATGACAGACGGACCAGGGATGTGAAAAAAGATATTCACATCAGATGTCTTATTCTCTTATATGTAGTCAGACCCCCTACCACACACACAAGATACTTATGTGCAACTGTAATTTATATTAAATTACATACATGAGTAAATATGTCTATGTCCTTGGATCTGTGATGTTATTTAATTCCATTGTGTGTAGTTGTGAATAATTTAGGATGTATTTTATACAATGTTATCGGATGATACATGTAGAATAAAAGTAACACAAAAATATGGATGCATGCATATATTTCTAAATGTGCGTATGTCTGAAATATTGTATCCATATATTTAAATATTCTTGAATTATATGTACACATATAAATGTGTGAGTGTGTGTGTTTGAGTGCATGTGTGCTTTTCTGAATATATTTACATAAATATGAGTAATATATATTTTGATGATATTATAGTAAAATGTTCTCAAAATACATTGTGGACATTTTTCTCAACACCAAATACACATATATGAAGATATCACACACACACACACACACACACACACACACACACACACACACACACACACACACACACACACACACACACACATATTAGGAATAATCAAGCACATGAACATTGTTCCTTGTGAATTTTCCTTTAAA